CAAATTCTGGGAAATTAACTTTTTTTTGGTAAATAAATAATTGATTTAACAAAACAATCTAGAATTAATATTGAAGATATCTAAAAGAACAATCCTAACAAAACTAAGAATTAGTGCTCATAGTCTACATAATGAAATGGGGAGATACTCAAAGCCACCTAACGCGTATGTCAATTAATTTTGTAATTTTTTATTGAAAATGAAAATGAAAATCATTTTTGTACTTTATTGTCCTAGTTATGATCAATGTAGATTACAGTATTACGATATATTTAATGTTCAATGTTACATGAAGGAAACCCCTATTATTGACATTATCAACCCTACAAGTATTTAACTTTAATTTTGCATGAAAAAGTGTTTTGATATTAGGAAGGAAAACCTTCAACAAACCTAATATGCTTTCTTTGATATTTTATTTTATGTATGTTAATTGTTGTATTCGTGACTATATGCCAATGTATGATGGTGTTGTCAATAAATGAAATGAATATACATGTATATACTGTGAGAAGAATGTGTCATACTCATGAGCCCCCACCCGACCTCCAAAACATACTGTAGTATCTGTGCGACTGTCCCGTGGTACGACTTACTGTCTGTATTACGTCAGATGGCGGGATAGTCGCACTCCCTCTCTCTACACCTGGATGCCGAGCAGACCGGACGTGTCTGGGACAGCAGCAGAGCGGGAAGTCGACCCGGGCCAGAACCCACTGTGTTTGTATATATGTTGTTGAATAAATAGTTGTAAAGCACACCCCTAGACTGAATACTTTACTGGCGCCCAATTCGCGGGGCCCGGGATTCCCGTACTGCTGTCAGGTATTTGTAGGCATCGGTTTTAGCCGCCATTTTTGGTGCTGCTAGTTACGTGAGAGCACATGTTGATTTTTCATGTATTTTTCTTGAATCGACTTTCTGAATCAATTTGTTAATATTGGCAGTGATTTATTTGATTATCTGTGACATTTTATTATGGATATGTCTGTTGAGGAGGCCGTGTCGGCTTTAGGCCCTTACATGCGCCCGGCTATCAATAGTGTCATGCAGTCAGACAGATTTAACCCTCCTGTTCCGTGCAGTGTGTATGGTTATCCCGTGGCAGGGGGTTTTTCACCATATGTTTATAACGGGAGCGAACATATTGCATCCCGTCACACACCTTTTGCTCAGTCAATGTCAGGTCACATGGGAGGGGGGTTGCCCTGGGGGTCCCTCTACATCCACGCCTCGGCCTACATTCGGGCATCCCCTGTGGGGAGGGTAGTGTGTTACATGGTATGTCAAGGAGAGAGTTAAGGTTTACTCAGTCCCAGTTTAGCTCACCAGGGATGATGATGATCAGTGATTCCCTGGAGTCCCCTTTAGGTAGCATGTGTGGGTGTGGCTCACCTGGCAGCACTGTGGGTTGTAGCCAACCCAGGTATGAATACAGGGAGGTTCCCTTGAGGTTACGTTTGGAACATCGGTATTCTGTAGGTCATGTGCTCTCAGCTGGTAGTCAACGTGTCCTTGTGTGAGACACAGCTAACCTGGGGGATATAGGAGTTAGACCAATCTTTGGTGAGGGTATACCCCACTCGCTTGACCCTGCCCCTCCAAAACATACACTGTTTGCCAAATGACAGGCCTGTGAGGCCTGCACAGCTCACTTCTCAGTATGCATCAGAGGCCTGTTGACCCTTCAAGGCTCACCTGGAACCCTTTGTCTGTACAAACCCAGCCTAGACCCGCAGACCTTAGTGTGTCCTCTCTTCCTGGGGGATGATTTCAAACCCGGACCTCAATGCCACACACTACCTTTGTCCGAGACTTGGTAAAAACTGGGGTGGACATGCCCACCCTGACTGCCTGATCACACCCAATCCCAATGGTACAGAGGTGAGGATGTTCAGACCTCACACCTACGTAGGACTATGCCCAGTGCATCACAGCATCATAGTGTCCCCATGTCATCGACTGGTAGTCCTGCCTATCAGGATACCCCTTTCTGCCATTTTGGAAGGGAGGGGGAGAGGATAGCCAAGCTGGGACACTATGCTAGTCAGCCTGTCCCGGCCCCGGCCCACCAGGATAGCAGCTTTAATACACCTGCACAGAAAACCAGTAGGGCAGCTGCTGGGAGTAAGTCTAAGTACAAGGACCTTAGGTATGATGGTAAGACCAGCTGGAAGGCATTTTTGCACAAGTTTGTGAGGTTGTCTCGCAGTCAGCTGTGGACTAAGGGTAGCAGCTTGACCAGTTCTGTTTTTCCCTTGAAGGGGCAGCAAGCGAGTATTATACTCTGCTGTTAGAAACCAGTAGCCGGATCTGCCTAGGTGAGATCTTGCAGAGATTTGAGAAGCGTTTTGGCCCCTCTGCCCCAGATCTCACTCATCAACTTAACTTCCAGTCTGCCAGCCAGAACCCTGGGGAGTCACTTCATCAGTTGGCCGACAGAGTCCTGACTTTGGCGACACGAGCCTTCTCCAGTGTGCCTGATGTGCATACTCACGTTATACCTCGGCTATGCTATGGAGCTGAGGACAGAGATGCTGGTATTTACGCACTTGATGGGCATCCCCGGACAGTGGAGGAAGCCGTGGAGCGTATGCAATACTATCAGCACTCCCGGCGTCACAGGCCTAAGCCATCAAGGGAAGTGAGAAAGCTGGATTCTGCTCATGACATGAAGCAGACTGATCCCGGGAGAGTAAATGTTGTTGCTGTGGAGGAGCTCGCAGCCCTCCGGAGCAGAATAGAAAATTTAGAGGAGTTGATAAGGCAGAGGGAAGCTGCCCCCCTTCAGAAACGTCAGAGGAGTGGAACCCCGTCGGTGAGATGGACGGAGCGGGACCGGAAGCCTGCTGTATGTTTCAGGTGTGGAGAGGTGGGGCACTTCCGTAGAGATTGCCCCACCGGAGCTGCAGGGAAGATAGTGGCTACTGACGGGCACAGGGGCGGGACCAGTATTGAAGGATTCCCTGTGGAGACATTCCCTAGGTCGGATTCCAAGGAGTTGGGGAAGCGCCGCAGGCTGAAAGATCAATTTGGGATGCCACCATCACCGGAGCTTTGCTTGGCTGAGGAGGAAGTGGTCACCATGGAAGAGGAAGTGGGGACTCCCCACTCCACTCTGGAGCCGTTTGGACCAGCCATGGTTAGTGATGAACCCCAAGACCTGGGGAGGATGGACCCATGTGGTGTTGATCTAATGTCACCTGCAGGGATGGGTAATCCCTGGTCACCCGTGGCAGTGGGATTGAAGGAGCCCTCATACCCACTGAGCGGTTAGGCGGATCTAAAGGTTTTATGGTTGGCCTGTGCGTGGAAGGCATGGAGGTTACAGCAGTAGTGGATACAGGGGCTGAGGTCAGCGTGTTGTCAACCAGGGTGTATGACCAGCTGGAGCCCAAACCCCCAATCCTGGATTATGTGACCATGAGACAGGCCGGAGAAAATGCCGAGTTAGAAGGGTTTATTGTGGGGCCTGTCACTGTGTGTATTGGCCAGCAGGAGCATGAGATGGAACTCTATGTCGCCCCATTGCAGGACTCAATGCTGCTAGGCATGGATTTTCTCCGCGCCCGGAAAGCCCAGCTGGACTTGGGGCAAGGACCCTTACTCTGGGGGATGAGGCCATAAAGGTGGAGTTCAGGAGGTCTGGTGGTATTCCAGAGGAAGGAGTGACCTTGACAGGAGGCCCACTAGTTGAGGCAGACAGAAGTAAGTCTGTTCCCCGTATAGTGAGAGATTTTGGTATTGTGGCGCCTCTGACCCATCCTGGAAGTACACTGGGTATACCAGACCCGGTAGTAGAGATGTTTGGAGAGTCCCTCTTAGACGCAGCTATTGAGGATATCGGTGTTGAACCACTATCCCAAGGACCAGTCCAACCTTTTGTCAATAAGACGGCCTGTGGTCATGTTTCTTGGGGATTACCGAGTTGTGTGGGCAGGGCCCAACCCCAGAGCTAGAGGTCACCAAGGACCATGTTGCAGAAATTGGGACATCCCCGTATGATTCAAGCAGTCCCTGGTCGTCTGATGATTCGACACCAGAGGAGAAGAGAACTTGTCGCTTGTACAGATCCAAGCGGAGGCGTGGGCACGCCGGAGGGCAAGTTTGCCCTCCAGAGCCTGATGGTGTAAGTGGTGTCAGTTTCTGAGTTGTTAGTGGGCCTGGTGACCTTGGCCCACTCGGTGAATGTTATACAGGAGTTGTAGGAGGTAATCTGGGAATCATCCCGTACTTACCACCTGGTAAATTTGTGTATACCCTTGTGGTGGTTTTGCCTGGAGCTTGCTCCGGCACTTGTTATTTTAGGGCAGTTTGCCCTGGAGGGCGTTTACAGCGCCCCGACGTTGGAGATGGTTCCGGACCCTCTTTCCTATGGTAGACTCCAGCCTTTCAGAGAAAACAGGGGGGAGTGTAGTATCTGTGCGACTGTCCCGTGGTACGACTTACTGTCTGTATTACGTCAGATGGCGGGATAGTCGCACTCCCTCTCTCTACACCTGGATGCCGAGCAGACCGGACGTGTCTGGGACAGCAGCAGAGCGGGAAGTCGACCCGGGCCAGAACCCACTGTGTTTGTATATATGTTGTTGAATAAATAGTTGTAAAGCACACCCCTAGACTGAATACTTTAATACATTGCACACCCTACCTCATGTATCCCCTACTATCAATAATGTCGGAAAGATTTTTTATCATTCAATGCTATCATATAATTTTTTTTTTTCTTTAAACACTTTTTAACTAGATCTAGATTTAATTTTGTTTTACAAAAAGCAATAATTATAATGAATTCGCCATGACAGCAGATTCTGTTTTACATAGAAATGGGTCATTCACAGACGTTCATATCTTTTAATTGCTATAAAAAGTAAAGATCTTCCCAAATTATGCCCCATAAGTGTTCCATGCCATCAAAAAGCACTTTTTTGAGATGTTTGAATTTTTGACATTTAATGAAAGCTGAAAGAAAGAAAGAAAGAAGACTGACGATCGTATACAAAGGCCAGTCTACAGGAACTCTTTAATGCTGAAGTTACAAATGGTGTGTCCATGTGTTTATGTTGTTGTTCGACGCCGACTGTCACCCGATTGACAAGTGAAAAACTCATCTGTTCCTTGTTTTTCTAAACTGTCAGCAGTGTCAACAGATTTTAGTGTTGATTGGACGCACTGCTGTTGAAAATTTTACTTGGAGGCCGATAATATATGAAGATTAACCAGTCTGATCTGTTTTCCATGAAACTTTATCACCTCGAGGTATTGCATCAGACTTCATGTGGAATGGTGTACAGTTTTTAAAGTATTAGCTGTTTTAACTTTGATATGCCATTCTTTGCTCGGCAAGCCTCGCCCTCTATCATGTTTAAAAATTATCATTTTTATGAGAGATATATTTCATATCTATTGTTCAATGTTGGTAACTGTAATTAAGGGCTTAAAAAGTTGAAAACTAAAAAAAAAAGTGAAGTGCAGCTGTGCTACTTATAAACTGATAAAGGCTAAGCCTTATGTAAAATGTAAAATCGTCAGTGTACTGCAACTATAACTTTTTCACGAAAATTAACATATGATCAATACTACAGGAAGAGAGTTTGCTGAATACCTTGAAATATCAGACATCTGTTCAGGTCAGCAATGAAGGTGTCAGAAGTGATGTACTGTAGCTTCCCGGTGTGGTATCCAAAATTTAAGCATATTTCAGTCAAGAGGTAAGAATTAATTAATTAGCCCTTTATTCATAACTGTCAAACTTCTTTTTTCTGCAGGGCAAATTGATAATGATTGGCAACATTTCTCATATGTCAAGATTTTTCAGAATTCTTTATAAATAATGCGTGTTCCTCTCTTGAAAATGATTAATCTATTATGATTTAAAATACATATTAAATGTATAATGTTGAAGCATACAGCAGTGTAGTCAGTGGATAAACTTTCACTTTTGAGGAATAAAATTGAAGACATTTTGCTTTACTTACAGCATTGTGATACCACTACCTGCAGAGTTTCTAGAATACTTACACACTGATGGAGTTGTGTTGCCAGAAGGGTAAATACTTGTTATTATGAAGACAGTCTGTAAGGTCTTATATACATTTAACTGTGTAATTAACAGTAAAACTTGGTCATAAGGAGGTCACTGGGACCTATGAAATTACTTCACTATATTTACATCCACTGAATATTTTCTCCTTTATTTCTTAAGAAACCCCATTGCGTTCATCACTGCATAAACTACAGTAGGCATGTCGCCTGTACAGATTTCTTAATCAGTGGCTGTTCCATCAATGAAACGTATAAAGACATTCGCATCATTAATACAATGATTAATCTTTTTAATCCTACCTTAATTGATTATTTAAACAGATATAAATATAAACAATAAAATGTCTTTCTTTGTTTGTTATTACTGGAATGAACGGTCGCAGCTATTGCAGAAAAATTTACATAACCCGCTTACGTGGGTTATGTATTTTTTCCGCAACAGCTGCTTCCGTTCATTCCAGTAATAACAAACAAAGAAAGCATTTTATTGTTTAAATATTTGTTAAATCCATGTAAGGAATTCTTTAAATTTATTTAGCTTAGGATCCAAGAAAACTTTGCTATATCAGTGAATTCCCAATGTCCGTGTTTGTACTAAACAAGTTTTACTGTACTAAGAATTATTAAAACTTACCCATGTGGAGCAGATAACTATTTTTTTCATAAGAATTTTGAATTCTACAGTTTTAAAGGAGAGAATACTCTAACTGCAGTGTTTTCCCTAGTAACTGGCTACTGGGTTAATTAATCTCTTCAATTAATATGATAAACAAAAATGATGCGTTAGAATAAAAAAAATCAAAATTTAATTGTTGTACATGTTGTAAGGTCCACAGAGATTTAAGTCCCCAACCTAGCTGTTACAACTGATCTCTAACCCTTTACTTTGAAATAAATGTAAAACACTGGCTAAGTTCTGCAACTTGATTGTCAGTTACCATGGTTTAATTTATAATGCATGTACATATTGAATTCAGAGTTGCTTTTTTTTCTCTATGTTAAGGAGTCTGGTAACTTCAGGAGACAGGGACTCAGATGAAGACAGGGTTGGAGAAGAGGTACAACCTGAATTTTAAACAATTGAAAACAACAGCTTGTTTATAATGTTTATGTATCTAGGGGGTAAATGCAAATATAAAATAAGAGTTATCTCCCTTACAACATATTTTTATGCCTACAATCCAAACAAAATTTCTTTAGCTTTATTGGTAAATCTGCATTTTTTATATTTGATCAGAAACAAAACCACCGTTATTTTTATCCAGCATAAAAGCCATATTCTCTTTTTATCATTTTTTAGAACAGAAACCATGATTATTAATAAATTATGAGGCTTTGCGTGTAAACAAAAATGTCAATATTCACAAGTTTTAACTGCATATATTCAAAATATGTGTAATGTAATTATGATGAAGATAACATGTACGTTACATGTTTACATTACAGTTAGATGTGAACTGGGATGATGATTCAGTGGAGGACCTAAGTATATAGAGAAAAAATTAGGGCTGGGTATTGGCCAAAGAATTTGTATTACGATATATTGCGATATTTTAAACTGTATTTCGATTAGTTTTGCAAATATTTTTAATGTTATTAAAATGGCATTTTCTTATCATATTAACTTTAATTTATATACAGAATGTACATAACTATGATAAGTAAGCAGAAGAAAAAAATCTTGTTGGTTTTATTAAATTTCTGCTTTGAAATACATCCATAAAACAGAAACAGTTCCTGTCTTACTGTTTGGCTTAATAACAACTATTCTTACATTTGTTTTAACTTTTAATGATAAAATTCCTTAGTCAAAGCATTTTACTGGAATAACGATATTACAAAAACATGTTTTGATACGATATTGTTTTTTGTTGTATTGCAGTATACCGAAATATCGATATTTTTGTCCAGCTCAAAAAAAAATTTTTTTATTCTTACAAATATATTACAATGAAGTATTGCTGTTATATTATTGTTATAATAATAATTGTTAATATAACTAATTATTCTATGATTAACCTTGTGAATAAATATATAGCTCTATAGTTAGTAAAGAGAAAAGCATTGTAACTTAATTTGCTAAATAAATTAAGAAAATTAAAATTATTTGATATAAAAATTTGTATTTTATTAAAGAAGCTTTTAAGTCATTCTATTTATGAAATCACATGTACGTATCAGCTAGATATTCTTTATCTTTCCCAATTTCCATTTAGAATTCATTCACTTACAGTTTTCTCCTTTTTGTGCAGGCACCAAGCTTTCCAGCTTTTGATGCAGCCATTAAGAAAGCCATTAAAATGCTGGGTGGTAAGTGTTCCCAAAACTTAACTGGAGTTCACCCAAGGTAATTATGTTCCCCAAACGAAGTTGGGCAACATATTGTTTTTACTCTGTTTCTTATTATTATTATTCTTATTATTTTTCTTCCTGGGAAAATTTTGTCCGCTAGTGATCTTGTAAACTACACATCCGACTTAGGTGAAACCTTTTGCAGGGTAAGTAGGCATGTTATTAGATTTGCGCAATCAAGGTCATTTTGCCGCGCACCGTGTTGCAAGAGCGCGCACGTGCAAAACTTAAAATGACCAATATAATATGAATATAACCGTAACTTTTCTATTTTATGACGAAATGTTTTGAAACTTATAATGTAAGGATAAATTAGTAGTAAGCATAAGATGACATGGTCAAAATAGCAAGATCGCACGCGCATGCACGTGCATACCAGTGATAGAACTTTGAACATTGTGAAGAATGGAGAGGATGGAGGTGATCAGACTGCAGAACTGGTGCCCTTACAATGTCTGTAGTACCTCCTTGGTGACCTCCTGGTTATCATGAAAAGGGATGCAGCAAACTAGAAAGTTGTCCGTTACTCTGGCTCCAAAGTAGTAAAATCCATTCAGTTTGATGCAGAAAGGCAAACCTCTGATTCACCTGGTGATTATTCAGACATAACTGAAAACAGGAACCTGGACATCTGTGTGTCTGACTGTAGAGCTAATGCAGTAGTGGTGGTCAATCAGGCTGGGGAACTGAGATTGAGGGGCAATAATGGGATATACTCCTCCTCCTAAGAACAGACCATTCTATGCGCGAGGAATCACCACAGACAGTCAGAGTCACATCCTTACAGCTGATCGTAACAATGACTGTGTCCACATCATAGACCAGGATGGACAGTTCCTCTGTTACATAGACTGTGGACTGAGTGGACTCTGGGGACTGTGTACAGATACAAATGACAATCTGTTTGTTGCTCAATGTGTAAACAAACGAGTGAAGAAAATCAAATATCTGAAGTGAATTTTGCTGCTGTACTGTAGTTTAGCAATTTTAAATGGTAATTTATGGTTGAATTCAATCATTATTGATGTTTATATAATAATATCTTGCCCGAGCTGAATTAAATGATGAATGCTAAATATAAAGTTAATGATCCATAGACTGGAAAAGTATATTCTAATAGTAATCTTATGTACAGCAAATCAGTGAAGATTTTTAACTTATAAATATATCAATGAGGGTTTTTAATAATATATAACTTTACTTTTCTTTTCAACCATACAAGTATATTGCTTTATTCACCAAAATACATATACCCACAAAAAGAAAAGAAAACATAATGTACTAACATAATAATCTTGATAAACATAATTTCAAAATTTGTCATGTATTATCTATGCAATGTAACATCATGCCAAGAGCATCCTTAGGTGTAAAAAACTATGTCAAATGTTTTGAAAGATGAATTTAAAACTAAAAGATATATTAGATAAGAGTTATCTCCCAGGTACACACATTCAAGCAAAAGAATTGTCTATGTAGGGGATTCCTACATGTATCTCGCTGGATGATTTAAAAAAAAGTACAGTCTGTTGTGATTACATTATCTGATCAAAACTTATCCAAGCTCCAATTATACTTTGTATTTCAACGTACAAAGAAAATCTTACAAATACAAAGCTCAGGATTATATAAAGGCCTCCAAACAGTTAAATAACTTTTAATTAGTTTTTGTTGTTTTCTTTTTATTGAACATGTAACGTAGCACACAAGAAGGAGTTTTTTTGTATAGGAAAGTCATAAGCCTCAGAAAATTAATATGAATTTTGGGAAGTGCAATTTTACTACAGTAACTTCTCTGTTCTTATCACATGTACTTAAATCTTATTATATACCAATTACATGTAACAGTAAATCAATTCATTAATCACCTCTTTTCTTACAAAAAATGATTTTCTTTTCTATCGGCGTAAGCATTATTTCAAAACATTATATATATTAGAACTATCAAAAGAAAATAACACATTTTATATTTAAATGAAACAACCATTTAAATGTTTTCAAATCAGAAGTTAAATACACATATAATTAAGTTCGAAAATCACATGGTAAATGTACATAAAATGAAATGTTCTGCAGTGTGACATAAAAATGCAGATGCTGTCATGAGACAGTAATACCCGCACTAATGTGTTTGCCTCTAAATACACACTCCTTCATATTGGGCTTTCCAAGGAAAAGTCAAAAACTCTATAATTATCACCGTACATGTATTCGTCAAATTGAGCATAAAACTTTCAGGTGACCATGTGATATATGAGGCTCATATATACTTGTCAAAATTTCTAAGTCCCCACTTTTATTTTTTCAAAAAGTTCAAAACCCTAACATCAATGTACTAGTAGCTTACAATTTTGCCTTTAGTTTGCAATACTTACCTTTCAAGGCCAAAAATAATGTAATCGAATGTGTAGTTACTCAACCGTGACCGTTTTTGTTAAAAAGCATGAAGTTCGAGTTCCATTTGTTTTCGGGTGTATTCTTCATATTTTTTACTTTCATGTGTTCTCCATCTTTAATTGATAACGAAAAACAGAAAAAAAGTTTGATTAAAATGCGGTGTATGTCCACACAACAATGTGAAAGTGAAGTTAAAATGGCCCAAACTGGTCGTACTTACTAGAATTCTGTTTCCTTTCACTGTGTGACTTTATTTTACTTAAAACCTTTATAATTACCGCCCGAAAAAACATACAAAGCATACCTGAATTCCTTTTAATCATTAGAAATCGCTAGATTTTCAATAAACACAAAAAAAATCATCGTAGAGTTTATCCGGAAAAATCAATGGAACCGGAACCGGAAGTGCCCTCCCAAATGTCAAACTGGAGGAGTGGGTAATACATGCAATGAGACATTATGTAACTATTGTCAGCAAGGCACAGGCACTTTTGGTAAGCCTACTTGTCATCCTAATCTCAACCCTAACTTACATGTATGGAAGAAGATAGACTGGAGTGTGAGACCGCTTTTCCACCGGCAAAATCTAGCGGAACTAGAGGACGACCTTGTCTCCACATGGAAAAACATTGAATAAAAGAATTTTTCTTAAATAGTGTGAACTCTTTGAGGAACGGTCGTCTTGCTGTGAATTCGTTTGAATGGAGGATAATGCAGTATATAATAGGGATATCAATTTTACTTGGACAGCTTAGTCAAATAGTCGGATGCTTTAGTCGAAGGATAGTCGAATATTCGTTTAATTTTAATTATTTTTTTGTACGAGTTTCACTGATTGTTTTTACGGACTGGTTTACAATATTGAACCTACGCTATCACCATTATATAACGAATTTCTGAATTGTAAACATGTACGTAGTGCAATTAAAATTGTACATCAATATTGATCCGATGTATTTCATTTCAAAATTAAAATCTTAGGTGCACGTTTTATCTAAATGCAGGGTATCAAACGCCCGTATTTGTTCTGGCTTTCTTTACATAACGGTATTACATGTACCCCATAATTGAAGCCAATTATTACGTGTCCATCAAAGATCTTTCACAGGAAAAAAATTGAAGCGTATTTATTATAAAAACAAAGAGAAAGCGAGAGCTTGCATAAATTTAAATTATGAAATTTTGTGCAAACAATCAATGATTAATATCAGAAAAAGAAAACAGGGTTTAATTACTCTCATATTAATTGACTCCGATTTGCATGCATTTACAATTTTGTAATATTATGGCTGTTTACTAGTAATTAATAGTCTTTCTTAATAGTTGTATCACGTCAGATCTTAGTTGAATCTTCAAAAACGAAACAATTGCCCTCTCCATTTAAAACAGTCAGAGATAGACAATTATGAATAAACATGTTTGTTTTTCTTTCCCATTCTGCTTTTTTGTCATTTATGCGGATAACTTACTATAGGAAAGTTTCACTTGAAGACTGTGTATTTGTTTGACTGATCGGCATATGATACATCATGTTTGATGTTACACTGCAGAATACAGTTCAATTTCACATATGTGTGATAACACTGTTTACCATTTCTAAGCTATACAAAAACTGTAGATTTTGAAGATATGTTTGCCTACATACATCGACGTACAAATAATTTCCGTTGAACAATTATACCATACCCTTAATTTTACATATGAAAATATTGATCTGTAAATAAATGAAATGAGCAAATATAAGT